GCTAATGCTGCTGGATTTTTCCTTTAATCAGTTAGTTGCTTCTGCTAGCACAATGGATACCTTCTCAGGGCAGGTTGCAGATGCCTTGGCCGTTCAAATTGAGCTAAATTTACAATTAAATACTGCAGCTTATTTTACAATTGGTTGTGGGTTTTGAACTCTGCTAGGTTACAGAAAAGACTTTTTGCTGTTATTCATGGAACCTGGAGTACAAGATTTACAAATTGGCTATTATTTATTATTCTAGTTAACTATACCAGGGTTCCTTCCACCAGCACTGAGACCTTACTTAAAGGGCTCCAATTTGGGCAGATTTATTTAGGATTGAGCAGGCACAGTCTCTTTTAGGAGTGCTTATATGTGCTGGAGCATCATCTTCATGGTTTCATGGTGCCAGAGCCAAAGGCAAGTTCAGGTCAATGTTGCCACGTGGCAAGTCCTCTTAGCATTTGCCCCGGAGTATCTTTCAGCGCAAATCTGGCTAAACTTGGTGATGGGTGACTAGTGAACCAATGATGGGTAAGGTTTTTGGGGGGCTACCCCAACCTAAGACAGGAAATGTGTTTTGACCTGGATGCTTTCCCATGACAAGTAAGAGGTATTGCCTGATGTCCAATGCAACTCAAGACAGACCAAGTCATATAATTTATATAAAAGAGGGACCTGTACTGCCCGGTCTGCCCTTGCTCCTTGGGGCGAATTTCTAGGACAATTTTTGGCTAGCCAGCTAGCATTCTGTTTGCTTCTGTGCTCCCTCTGCCCTAGGCTGGTGATTAGCTGTAGGACATTGTTTCATCTTTGGTATGGTAATTTCCCACCTGCCCAGGAGGAAATCCTTGCAGCAGCCAGATTCCTCCCTGCCTGGGAGCTAATCCTTTTGCAGCAGCCAAAGTCTATTAGTTTTACAAAAAGCTGAATAAAGTGGCATTAGGCTGATCCTCTTTCAAATGACCCAGGTCTCTTGTGTGCTTCTTTCAATCTCCAGGCCTTTGCCTGACTCACGTAAGATACAGTTGCACACGAACTGTACTGAGAGGGTAACACAAAATTGGGTGTTACAGTTTACCTGTGAATAGATTAAAAAGTAAGTCACATTGAGATTGGTTGAGCACAAAAAAATACTCTTTCAACTTGTGACCCAGCCTGATGAGTTACTGCTTCCCTATAGACACCACGGATTTTAAATGTTGTGCCACTAGTTTTATGGTGATCAGTATATGTAAGTTCACACTCTCACTAGGTTTTTCCGTTTATTTATATGAGGTGACTACCACATTCACACCATCAGGAAAGATCTACCAATAGACATGCTAATGTAGAAAAAGAAGAACTTGCAAGTCTTCAACCCCACATAAAGAACTATAAGCAAATAAGGGATGTGAAGGTGGAAAAAATAGTCTTCCCTAAGAAAACCTCACTAATTGATTATCCAATACCAAATGGTCAGCCATGAAAACATACATCAACAGTATCTAAGCGCTTCTTTTTGCAGGCTCATGTAGCATAACTTCAGCTCTGGAGATACGAATCCAAGCAGCATCTATCTAGAAACCTTCATCTCCATATTTATTTATTTGTTTGTTTGTTTTTCCTTTTCATCTCAGGTTTATATGGATTTCAAACAAAACCAATGCTTTGTGCCATTTTTCAGGTTTTTGTTTATTTTTATTCAAAGATCATGTGGCTCTAAATAACTAAAATATTCAAAATTATTTTTCTGGATTTACCTAATAAGCATTTTAAGTTGACAAAATATTAAAAATGGAGTATATTATAGTTAAGCTGCTATTGTTAGGCTTATCAAAAGGTTAATTTTAATCATTTCTTTAATCTGTATACATCTTATAAACGATCACATGATGACTATTTTTTTTTTTGCTTTCAATTTAACTACATCTACGCATAACAAAAACCCTAGCAGCTGGATACCCCTGTGAGAGATTGTTCTTGAATTATATGAGATGGGAAATCCCACTCTAATTCCAGATCTTTTGATGTGGGAAGGTCTATATTAAATCTGTGCCACAACTCCTAGTGGCAGCCTATCTAAAGGGATGGAAGAAGGAAGCTTTTGCTCTTTGCTTGTTTGCTTTCTCTGTCACTGGTTTTAGAGACTACTACTTCAGGGTTTCACCATATACTGATGACCAACTGATTCATTCTCTCGTAGAAAGAACGAGTTTTGTATTCTTGCACTTTATGTTGAGAGACAGCCATTGTTGGACTCTTCAGACCCCAGCTTATAAGCCAAGCTAATAAATCCCCTCCATATCTATGTATATTCTACCTATTCTGTTTCTCTAGAGAACCTTGGGATATACTCATCATAAAGGAAATGCCTGGGTTGAGAGGTATGCTTTGTTTCAGGCTAACCTACTACATGGTATCAAAAATGATGATAACACAGGACTCAACCTCATAGGCTGAATGGTAATTGAAATGCAAACACCCAATTCTCATTATTTCAGTGACTCCTTAGGGCTAGAGTGTGACAGAACATTCTTTGCTGGAATAAAGAGGGACCAACAAAATGTTGATGTTTTTCAGGGCTTTATTTTTCTTTAATTGTTATTACAAATACATGCATACACAGGCACATATACACAGATGTATATAAATTAGCAAGTTCAAAATATATTCCGCCTATTAGACTGATAATTATCTTAAATATCACTATAAAGCTTTCATCTAACAACAAATGGAAACAGAGGCAGAGACCCACATCAAAGCACTAGACTGAGCTCCCAATGTCCAGTTGAAGAGTAGAAGGAATTAGGGATATGAGCAAAGAGGTCAAGAACAGGAACAGTTCAAACATTTTTTTAAATAATTAAAGTGTAATTACAGTTAGGAAAAATGCAATGGATAATCAGAAAGTATATGGAAAATTGAATAATGCTTTTTTTCTAATAATCTCTCACGACTGGAAAAATTGGATAGTGAATAAAGTAGTTTCCCTGGAAACAAAAAGACCTGACTGTCAATTCCCCATTACCCATGTAACTGTGAGTGAGGCAGCATGCATCTCTAATCCTTGGTATATAACTCAGCATTCAACATTTCACCCTGTGGCAAAAAAAAAACTCTGTTTGCAGTACAATTACTTTACTCCAGCATTTTTCTTGTTATTGAATCATCAGCCACACAGGAGAACTCAGAAGCATAATCCTAAACATAGCCTATGTTTAATTCACAGAAACTTTAGATAACCAGAATTGCATCCTATTAAAACATCTTTCTTTGATTGGTAAGAAATCAGTTCTTATCTGTTGATTCCTTTATCTTGGTCTTATTACTTGATGTGATTTGATTTTCCTTAAATCAATTAATCAGACTAAATACATTAAGAAGGTAAGTCTCTATTCACAGCTTCTCTAGATAGGTGAGTAAAGCTGTTTCAAGGATTTTTTTTTTACTTAAAATCATCTAAAAACAATTTCTAAGAAAAAGAAAGAAAAAATGTTTATTTATATTCTTCCTGCTGCTTGCCATGCTACCTTACTTGATTTATCTTTTAAAGTTAAGATCAACATAAAAATTCCAAAATATTTATCATTAGGTAGAAATTTTCTACACATATGCAAAGAAAATAATACATTTTTTCAATTAGAAGAAAAGTTTCAACTTTTAAAAAATTCTCATTAATTCATTCAGGATGTCATACAATGTATTTTAAACATATTCACCCCAATTCCTCATTTCGACAACTGTGAGACTTCGATAAGCCCAGGGACAGGACAAACTGTTTGCACTGTTTTCTTATTATGAAAATGAATAAAATAACATTTGTTATTTATTTATTTATTTTATTTCACACTTAAAAGCAGGTGGCCCTAGTTTGAATCTCCCGAATCCATGGAAATCCAGTGTGCATATGTAATCCCAGCAGTCCTCTGGATGTTGTGATGCATTGGCTTGAAAATATAATCTTATATTCTAAGATACTGGAAATCTTGCTGGAGCTCGCAGCCACAGTTAATAATACACCTTGTAGTCACTTATGATTGATATCCCACTGTGTACTCCATGTGTTAAATTTACTTGGGAGAGAACAATGCAATAATCAACCTCTTTTGTCTGAGATTTTCCATGTAATCAACTTTCACAGCCTAAGTTAACAAATAGCTATGATCTTATATTATGCACTCCTCAATACCCCAGCCCAGAACAATGCATGTGCAACATGCATTTTGAAAGTAGTAAATATAGTGCTTGAAAGCAGCTTTCTGAAATCTACCTTAATGGTGGAAAGTACCCACTTGTGGATATTTGTTGATAGAAGATGAAATATGTAGTACTGTTTGCTGTCTTTGTCAGCTGGAACCAATTGAAGCAAGTGAACTAAACCCTTTTCAAATATTTGAAGATTTATTTCAAGATTGCCCCTTGTGATGTTTTCTTTACAGGTCGGTAAGTACAGTGAGATCCTTTATGTAAGATATAGAAAGAGCCATGTAACATATATGCAAAGAAATAGACAGGCATACATATAAACGAACACAAAATAAATACTTATACATAGACAGAGACACAGGGACAGGGACAGATTCACAAGACAGCCTTACTCAGACAAGAATATGATTCGGACTCATGCAGCAAAGACATAAGGAACATGATGTAGAGAGTTCAAATTTGGACTCACTATTGGTTAAATGACTCCAAGAGAAAAGTGTTTTTATTTCTTTCCTTAATGCAGCAACAAAGCATTGGTGGTAAGTCAGAGTTAATCACGAATTCATGTAATCAGTGCAGTCAGTATAGAGAAATGGGAGTCAGAGAAACAAAAAAAATGGAAGCGTTTGGATTAGCTAGCCTGCTGTATACAGTGGAAGACAAACAGTACCTGTCTCAAACAAATTGGAAGATACAACTAACACTTAAGGTTTGCCACTGACTTCCACTTATGTATTGTGGCACATACATACGTACATTCACACATAAACTCTCTCTCTCTCTCTCTCTCTCTCTCTCTCTCTCTCTCTCTCACACACACACACACACACACATACACACACACAAATTCAATTACATATCATACATAGAAACAAAGACTTAAAGCTTAAACATTTTGCCTTGGTTTACTTTACTTATGCTAAAAATGTATCTTCACAAACCTTGTTTTTAAATAGACATTTTGCCTGGTTCACATTATTTGTGCTAAAAGTGTATTTTCACATAATATTTTTAACAAAGGTCTAAATTAATTTTAAATATTGCCATACATGAAGTCATATCTGAAGAGATGCTGGAGAGATGGTTCAATGAGTAAAGAACCTGCTGTGAAAGCATGAACGCATTAATTTGGGTCCTCAAATGCAGCAATGTGCACCTATGAAAACAAAAAGTAACCTTAAATTAGTATCAATATATAAAAATCCATATCAATATAAAATATTTGATACTAGAGGTTGCTCAAAGGCTGACTCAGCATCTGCCCTTTTACTCCATCATTCTATAATGCCCCCTTTCCCTTCCAAAAGAGATCCTTGAATCTACTTTCCTTTGTTCAGCTTTTATCCTGGCCATGACATTCAACAACTTCTAACCCCTAAATGATGTCAAACATCCATAAACCAATGAATGACCAAAGACTACTCATTTACCTCTTGGGAATGTGAGCACCTTTTTCTCTGAGTTTCCTGTTGTCTGGGGGCAATGACATAACTATAGGAACCTGAGAAAATTGAAATAATGGTCAAGTTCTGGAAAAACTAGCTGTAACATTTGTTGTTCATCTCAGTGTAATGGGAAAGTGCAGGGTTTATCTGAAGTCATGGCTAGAGTAGTATGTGAAACTGCACCTTCTCAGCTAGCTCTTTTGAATTTGTCCTGAGTAGTTTGTAGCCAAAAACTGATGTTTGCGTGGTGTCTTTAGATTAATTTCATTACCACAGTTCAGGTGAAATCATTGTGGGGTCCCATCACTTTTTCAGAACATGAAAGTTTACTCCTAGGAATGATCATGGTTCCCTGCAGAAAGCTTAAACATTTTAAATGTCATATACAGCATATCTCAGGTAGGCTACAGGACCATAATCTATTAAGTATATCCAGGGTACACAACTTAATTTGTAGTTAACTTCTTTAGAATCAAGCCAAAAATCATGTACAGTAAGCTAGATGAAGCCTACTTCCACAATTACATACTCCATATGACCATTAATATCACAACAGAAAGTTTTGGGTGTGCGTGCGTGTGTGTGTGTGTGTGTGTATGAGTGTGTCCAGTCATCTTCAGATTCCTTAGTTGGGTGTTTTTATTCTCCTGGAAAGACAAAAATAAGACGATCTAAGATGTCTCTGTCATCTGACTTAAGTGTAGAAATTATTTAATAATTTTGATACTATATGTAAAGTTTTTCAACCTATTTATTTATTTTTAAATGGATGTGTGTACATATTTCAATTTATGTAATCAATGAGTGTGCAAGAGGATGGAGAGGCCAGAACAGACATCAGAGTCCTTATACCTGAGTTTCAGGTATTTGCGAGCAGGCATATTTTTGGTGGGAACTGGACCTACATGCTTTGCAAGAGCAGGAAGCAATGTTAACCACTGAACCATCTCTCAACTCTCATTTCATGCAGTTATTTTTGCTACTTTCCCACTATCTCAATAGTTTACACACATTAAAGAAACATCTATTAACTACAATTGAAAATTTTATCATTATGCTTCATGTAAACCTCCTATCTTCATTGTTGTATATTTCAGGATCTCTTGCCCAGAAATTGGTCCAACTCATAAAAAGTGGGTCCTCCCATATCAAAAGTATAATCAAGTCAGATTTACCCACAGGTAGCTTACCATGGAGACTGTTTCCAGGTGATTCCTCAAAGTGCAGGTTGGTAAGACGATCTACCATATTGTTCTATATTAATAATTCTGCAGTTCATGAATTGATAAAACTGAATAACATTTCCAAATTTATAAAATGGTCCTCTTTCTATTACCTCACCCCTATGGTTAAGGAAGAAGAAACACTATTAATAAAAACCCAGGAGAGAGTAATTTAGGTTTAACCTGAAGATGTGAAAAGCAAAACAGCGAGCTGTTATCTCTTACCTTGACCTAAGTGTGAAATGCCGATTCTGCCTCCTGGAATCTCAGATTGAGACTGTTTGAGAGCTGTCTCTCTCTGTCTTATATTCCTTTCTAGGGATGAAGCTAAAGACATGCACCATTGGGGTTAAAGACATCACCAACTGATTTCTATGGAAACTAGTGTTGCTACTGGAATTAAAGGTGTGTGTCATAGTGGTTGCTGGGACTAAAGATGTGTGTCACAATAACCTGCTCTGTAAGGCTGACTAGAGGGGCAGTCTTACTCTCAGATATTCAGGTAGTCTTTATTTATTAAAATATATTTGATATGCCACTGCAGGAGGAGAACTCAGATTTTCTTGTTTTAATTAAGAAATGTAACACAGGTCTTTGATTTTGTTGCTGTTTGAATAATATGTCCTCCATAATTTCCAGCATTTGGATAATTTCTCCCCAGTTGTGAGTTATAAGCTTGATGCTTCATCTATAATGCCTGCAATCCTTCTGGTTTCATAATCCCAAATAAACTCTTACTTCTGTAAATTGTTATGACCATTGTGTTTTATGAAAGCAACAGAAAAGCCACTAATACAAGGATGAGGCATCATACAAACCAATGCTCACTGACATGAGTGATTTAAATAATTTTATTGGTTTAAGCTATTGAATAATATATGAACAAATATCTTCCAAGGTTTTTTGAGGGGCAACAGCAGTTATAAACAAAAAAATAAATTGCATTCTCTTCTAGCCTGCTCATTGTAGCATAAGTCACGGTACTCCTACCTTCTCTACACTGCATGGATAGTGTTTCCCAGGTCCTCCATAATTATTTTTGTCTGTCTGTCTGACTGTGTGCCTGGAATGCCCCATACATGCTTGTTCTCTAATAATCCCTCATCACTTTGCATAAGCACCCTTTTCACTTCCTACACAACTCAATTTAATGCATAATTATATCAAACACATAGTGTCCATACTCAGAATATAAGACATGTATGTCATCGGTAATTTTTTTTCAGTACACGACTGCCCTTTTATTTAAATGACCATCTTACAAGTTCTTTTGACAATTTTGAGATGCAGTGCTGAACATGGTTAGAATTAGCTACCAGTTTTCTACCATAACTAAATCTATAAAAGGTGTATATCCCAGAATTAATGCTGGCATTTTAGTTGGTTTTCAGAGTGGTGGAAAATGCAGTAAAGGGCCACCATCTCACCATTGTCATTGCCTACATAGAGGTAACAACAAAGAAGTTAGTTTGAATACTTAATGTAGACTACCCACAAATCAGTCATCCATTATACTGACCTTTCTTGTGCTATTTAGTCTGGAGATATGAGAGATTATGTAAGAGCAAAAAACACTATTGAGCTGACTCAGAGAGGCCCAGTAGGTCTTGCAGGTTGAGGGCGCAATAATATTACAAGAGCTATTTGCTCAAACCCATAATATTTTGGTGCTTCATGAATTTGAATTGTCCCTACAATATGGAAAGAACAGTAACCTAAATATATATTTGTCTGAATTCACATGTCGTGTGTTCACTGACAAACACTGCAGTTAAAGCTCTAGTATTTATCTAGTTCTTTTGTAGAAGTCTATTTAGTGCCACAAAAACACAGATGGTCACCCCAGAGTCTCAGCAATCCATATGCAGCTTTCAAAAGTCCAACTCTATAGGCATCATGTGACATGAAAAGGGTCACTTTTTATTTCCCCATGAGTTTGTCACAAGCTTATTTATCAAAGCAGACCCTCATTTAAGGACTTCACATTCTATTAATAGTTTTCATTTCTTTTCATTTTTGTTCAGTCACATTAGTGTGTTTTGAGGCATAAATCATAATGAAGTTAAACAACTAATATGTTCTGTTCAAAGTACTTTGACAACCATGTGCATAATTATAAGCAAAACTAAAATAAGATATAAAGTATTGTACTTATTTTACTCTGCAAAATTCCCTTGTAGCTGCTTTTCATATAGACAATATTTTGTTGCATTTTTGATTTTCATCCTCACAGATCAAACTTCATTAGACATTTTCAGTAGACTAGGAAGACAATATTTTAGGTTTTGTAGGATGTTTATGTTTTTTATTTTTACTTTTTAAGAGTTATTAAATGCTTTATTGTGATTATGACTGAATCAGGAAGAATAGCTGATATGGACTTATATTTTAGTTAGCTAGCCACTGACTTATAACTGTGGCTGTTTGGTAACTCTATGCAAGTGGTATAATGTATTACAAGATCTTTTGTTTCTTTCTTATCTTAATATATCATTTTCACACTTCTGTATATTGTTAAAATTGCATGACTTTAAGATTTTATATGAGCATTTTACTGAAATATAGTAGAGATGTTGTTTAATCTCAAGTTCTTGGCCAAGGCTTTCAGATGAAGGACTTATGCAAACATGTCCCAGTCTACTTTCTTCTTAGTAGTTAGCCAAATATTCTGACAGTATCTGGCAAAAACAGATCAGTATAGAAGGCAGAATAGAAAACATCATCAAAATCTAAAGTCTCATGCAAACACATAACAATATCGTTTATATACTGTGGATTTTTCTTTACTCACAGAGATATTAGTACATATTTTGCTGGCATCTGGTGTTCGTTGAGAACAGAAACCCTAAGTAGGAATATGAGGGTTACCTTTTACCAAAACAGCTACTGAGGCACTTTGAAAAAAGCAGCATACATCACAAGGAGTAAAAGTCTTGTGACCTGTGTCAGACTTAATGTTTGTAGTATATGGAGCAGTATTTTCATTAGCAAATTGTTCATAGTAAGTTGTGATCTGATGTCCAGAGAAGTGGTTGCTATTGGTCAATTAGATATCTTAACTTTTTTCATAGGTTCTGATTCATCTCACCTCACATTACCCATTTTCCCATTTATAAAGACCCTCAGAAGTATAAGTATAAGCACAGGTACAAACACAAACACACACAGAGACACACAACACAGACACAAACGCATGCACACACAATGCAGTCTTGTTATTTAAAGATAATACCTTTGTCATCGTATCCTATATGATATTAATAGACTTTCTATCCCAAAAATTCATAACCATAATGCTGAACAACCTTGTTAATCTAAATGCATTTCATTAAGTGTAAGAATTATTCTATAATTATCTTGACATATGAAGCACCTTTTGTCCCCTTAAGTCTACAATTGTGGATAAGTTTATAGACAACCTAAAGACAAAATTCATAATACTGAAAACATTTAAATGATCCAGATGCTATATAGTCACATTAAATATCAACAAGGCTATTATTATGTTCACAAGTAAATTTGACAAAGATGAAGTCTATTTTCTTGATTTCCTCTTTCCACTATCTTACATCTCTTTCATGTAGAATTATAGGTTTTAAATCAACTGATTCTATATGTTTTGATATTATAATACATTTAATATAGCTGATCTTACTCTGTATGGATTACTATCCACTAACCTCTTATGCTAATGCCTTATGAATAAGGCAAGCTATTCATCATTTTTCCTCTTTCTAACTTACTCCAAATGATCATTAATGCATTCTAACACCAAAAATAATACATCATCAAGGATATGGCCAAGAAACTAAGAACACACTGTAATATTGCTAAAACTAATAGAGACACTGTTGAGTGCTTTCATATTTAAGTACTGTATTATTGAAAATCAGGTTGGTTCTTTTTCCTCCTCAGGAGTCTGTTATAATACTTAACAATAAAAACTGAAATACTTGTTTTGTAGTGAATTCTAACACCTATTGAAGTTTTTCACCTCAACCAATAATTGAATCCCCACTCATGTTCACCATTTCCTACCTTAATAAGACTGAGCACAACACCAAATAATTCAAAGAACAAACCCCTGTAAGTATCAACCAGTGCCTCTTATTAATTTTTATATGTCATATACATTTAAAAATATAATTATGTACAAATATTTTGGGGGATATACTTTTAAAGCAAATTTTGAAATGAGATAAAATTTATTTCTATAGGGCAATTTTCTTTAAGTAGAGGTGGTGTAAGTATTAAACCACTAATTTAACCTCAATGTTAATTGAATTTAATGTGTCTCATTAAATTTTGTGTCCATAATATGTTACAAATATGTGTGTTGTTATAAATCTCTTTTCTAGGAAGCATTTAAGACTTCCAAACGCAGTGGTAGTGATAACAAACAAAATCTTGATAGTATATAATCTTGGTCATGTTATCCTTAAGGCACAATACACTCAGCATATATGAAGATATTCATGTGAATAATGATTATATGGGATTTAGAAAACTAAAACTACATAATTATATGACAAAACTATTGAATCTTTTAAAGGTGTATTTGTATTCTGCTCTTTGAATTAGTTCTATTTTAAGGGGAAAACATCTTGATGGTGAACCCTTGATAGTAAAGACTGAATGTCTAACAATGATACATTGGATGAGCTTATAATCTATGTTGACTAATCGCTTCATAAAACCTATAGTGAAATTATAATAAGTGGGAACCAGTATCAAACTCTGTGGCTATGTCTATAAATGTTTAAAATCACGCTAGAAAAATTGGAATAGAATAAGACATGAGAACAGATGGCCCAAGCCTTCATAATAAATCATCTTGTTGCATCAACACTTTATCTTCTATATACATGTTTGGACAGTAAAGACTCTTTATTAATATAACTTTCCTAATGCCCACTTAGAAGACAAAAATATTAACTACATACTCTGGCACCTGTTGGAAGAATACTTCCAGAGGATTTCAGTTGTTCCCATCAGTGTTACTGAGGAGCAAAATATGAAATTCTCTACATGAGAACTTTGAGTAAAACATCTAAATATCCTTCTTTCTTGGGAGGAAGGTCTACTCTCATTTCTTTAGTATAACTGTGATTCACTGTTTGCCCACATCCATAGTTAAGATAAAAAAGTTTTACTTCAGGTCATAATGGCAGAGACTGACAATCTATCATGATGGAGCAGGCAAATAGGATTACTTGTTCCACAGCAATGGAATATGTGGATGCAGATCCTTCACATAGTAGTAATGGGTGCACAGAAGAGAACCTGAAACAAGAATAACCTTACAAACTGTACCACTACAGGTCTACTTCCACAAACTTTAGACAACCA